ACCCCTCGGCCATCCAAACTTCAAATGCGCTGGAATTTTTCTTGTTGACGAAGGGGCGCCCATCGAGAAGCCGAAGTTTGTCGCTTTCAATTCGGCAGAAATCTTCTGGAAAAGTTGTCAGGATCGGCGATCGCTTAAAATATTGCAGAGGAGTAATTCCACAAAATTCTGTCGTGAGCACATACCTGCCCAGTAATTATGCTCGCTCAATGCATCACTGACGACGCGAGAGAAGGTCGAAAAACCTTTCCTCTGCGCCATTTTTGGGTTTTTGGGGAAAATAACTAAGAAAACTACATGCACTACAAAGCAATCTGGGAAAAAAAAAAAGAACATTGTCCAGATCCAAAAAACAGACACTGTCCAGATCCAACCGAAAGGGGCGCTAACGATATTAACCATGCAAACGCTGACATAAAAACCACATATTTAATTGGATTAGAACGCCTGGGGAGTTTGATGTGTACTTCCAGTGCAGACCATTTGCGTCCCCTCATGTGTAATGAGAAAACCTGCAATAATTACCTTGGGTCTAGTTAAAGCTTTTCCTTTGACTTAAGTTTTTTCGGTGGTAGTTCATGACGAGGTTTGCCCACTGAAAACATTTCTGCAAATTCGGCTAGGGGGAACTGAGTTCCCTCTGAAGATCAAAAATTCGCCCCACACCATGATAGAGGCCTTGCATGGGAAGTCTCGGTAAATACTTTTTTTAGAATTTCCCAGTGCCCAAAACACATGCCGAGAGAGACTTGATTATTAGTTCATTTCAAACAAGGTAAAGTGTCGGCTTCAATCTCTTAAATCAAATTGAATCTTTCTTTTTGTTTTTTACAAACCTATAAAGATTATGAGGAAGGGCTGGGAATACTGAAGAGTCAAACTAAACGAGGAAAGGGTCTATCACCCAACACTGATTGGACAATAATTTCCAGACACTCACAAGACTATCTGGTGACTCCAATTTCATAACAATAGAGGGTTCTTTGAGTAATTGTCACATGTTTTGGTTGGAGAATGACTTAGTCTTGAGCTCTCAGTTTAAGGCGTGGCATGTTTCTCGAATTCATCCCATTTGTCTTAAGACCTGATACAATCAGCAAGTTCGACCTTCCTTCCTCGTTTAAACAATAAATCGGCCACTTTGTGGGACTCAAATTTATTCCAATTGGTTTCTATTTATAAGAGCACTTGGCTGTTAGCTGTATGAGAAATACTTCTTCAGTTGAGGCTAGCAAAATGTATCAGCAAATATACAATACATAGAAAAGGGTTTGTCTTGTCAAAATAATATTTTTTGCGAAAGTCTTTAAACTAAATAACAATTAGATAATTTTAACTACAGAGGTCTCTACTAAAAAAAAACTGAGTTCATACTGCAAATTCTCCTTGTTGTTTCAGAACTACTTCTACTTCTCAAAATCTTTCCGGACGTTATAAATGGAAAAACCCAGTGCTAGGATTCACACTCATCATGACAGTTGCAGTAATGGTTGATATCATCCACACAAGATTGTTACATGTTTGTAAGGCCCTGAGTGAATTGCTGGCACCTAGAATATAAGGATACAGTATTAACTCTGAAAATTAAGGTAAAAGAGATAGACTTTCAAGTAAATAAAACTGAAGATAAAATGAAAAAGACAAAATTTAAGGAAAGAACCGCTTACCAGAGCTAGTTGTACTGCTGCTGTAGACCAGAGTCGAATGTGACATTGAGTGAGGAGTTGGACTTGAGTTGGTTTCTGAGGAGTTATCATAGAAATAACAAATTGGGACTTTCAATAATTGATTTTTAAGAAAAACAGTGGTCATTCATAACAAATACAATTACATTATGAACGATATTGGGAACGGATTTAATGAGGAATTTTAAGTCTTAGGGAGATTATCTTAGATATTCTTATCAGAAAAATTATAATCTAGTAAAATAGTTTTTCAAGAGGCCCTGGGATGTACCAGTTCACAGGTTAATGATGATATGATTGAAATATTGCTAGAGTCATAAAAAAATTCCTTACCTTTTATTTTCAGATGTATTACTTGTAAACATTTCTCTGTTTTGTCATCGTGTGGGGTAATACCAGAGAAGGAGGTCCATACTGCGTACAGTCCACTATCGTTTACAGTGACATCGAAAATCTTTATTATCAAAAGTCTTTGATTCCACTTCTTGAATTCTGTCTTCCCTTTCAAACAAACCTCCCTTAATGATCCAGAACAAGTGCCTTCTGATTCATTTTTCGTTAGGTAGGCAAATAAAGACGAATTTACAAATGCCCGATAGCCAGAAAACTCTTTTTCACTCTCATGATTTGATCTTTTGTAAAATAATCTGGCGTCCTCTCCAGAATTGTGAATAATTGGATCCGTAGAATTAGGACAAGCATTCCCAGTGGATGCCACTCTGGCTGCAAAATTCAGGTACAATAAGGATCACTTGAGACTTAAAGTAATCCTCGATATTTATTTAATTTTATCTACTCGTTTAAGTCTTGTTTAGATCCTGGTAATGTTTTCTAATGGTATAATATCTTCACTCTTCCAAAACAAAGCTCCTCACTAAAGTCGTCAGAGCGCATGGGCAGGTAACAAATCCATAGCATTACCATGTGTTAATTGATATAGCGGTAATTCTAAAATTTCCTTCATCCACTGAAAACATGATGTGTAAAATAAATTTCGTGTTCCTATTGAAGGACAGTCTTAAGCGATAGTTATAAGCCCAACCTCTCTGCTTGTTTCTTAGCCTTGAAAGAAAACCGCACCGCTTTTCAATTTTAAAATATTCCGCCATTTTAGTCTACTGCTTCCTATGGTCTCATGCGTGCGAAAGTTCCTGACATGCGCAGATGTTTTTCAGTTCCGTCCGCCATGTCTAGTTTTCTTCTTATTTAAATTTCAACTATTTCACCACGGCCAAGAACAATTTTGGCTCAGGAATTTGGTTTGCAGAAGAATTTGAGCAAATTTTCACTGCGAAGGGGATACATTTCTATAATTTTGAACGCATAGCGAAAAATTGGAATTCTGATATTCACTGTGGTTATTATAAGTTACTCCGATTCTATCAGCGGAGATCAATACCGGTTATTCAAGTGACGAAAAATATTACAAACATTTCCATGTTCATTCACAATTGTTTCAAATCGTGTATTCTTGTTCAAATTCAATAAAACTGTGTCATTATTGAATACCACGCAATGACGTTCCTTACTCGTGTGTTTTGTTCCGTTTGCAAGGTCAAAACCTTGAGATAAATGTCGTAAATGAATCATGCTTAATTATCCTCGACATCCCCTTATTTCACATAGTCTAACTTTTTAGTTTTGTAACAACTCACGACTCGTCCATTAGTGATCACGTTTTACCTACACCATTACGTTTTGATACACAAATAGATGCTTGGATTTGGAACAGCGTTTGGTTTCCGTATCCATTTCCGGTTAGAAAAACCGTCAGTATGAAACTAGATCCATCACAAAACATTTACAGTCTACCTACCTTGAATCAGAGTTAAAAAACAAACCAAACTGTATAAGGGGAACTTCATTTCGGCCGGTCGAGTTGAGAGTGACTGTACAGAAAGGAGCACTGCACAGCGCCGCATCACATTACGCATGACCCATTTTGACTAATACTGTTAAGACCCTGTCACACAATCATTGGGTTCTTTGAAAAATGGGAAGTGTTTTTATTAGTGCATGAAGTTCCGAGAATGAGCTTTATGTCCTCTATCCTCTATGAGCTCACAAAATGGGGTCAACGTTATGATAGCATATATATGATACTAATGGACGATCTAGAAGGGAGAAAAAATAGGTGCCCGACTTTGAAGGAATTTCTTAGTATCTTCGATAAACATCCCAATCTTTTAGCATGGCGTGAGGTTGCACTTGCGACAAAGCTATGGCTTATTGGGTTCTGGGAAAAAAGGGAAGTCTTTCTATTCGTGTGTGAAAAGTGTTAACCTTGAAATTCCGAGGATGAGTCACTTTGTGTCCTCTAGGAGCTCACAACATGGGATCATATTCAAAATGTCTATATCTAATAATATAAGGCGTCCCAAGACTTATTCCTTGAGTTCTGAAGTTAAAACAAAAATCGAATACGAAATCAGTTAGATGCAAGTTTGAGTAATTATTTACTTCTAAAGTAAAATAACTTGAAATTCCGTTTGACGAGACAGGGTTTATTAAAGTCACTTTCTTTCCCTTCGTTCTCAGAAATCTTGAGAATGGCTGGTGTACGGAATTGAAGAGGTGGGAAACTATCCAACAAATCTTTTTTCGCTTTCTCGGAGAAGTAAAAAGTGAAAGGTAACTTAACTCGGCTAGTTAGGGGTTTTTCGCTGCAAAATAGCTCTCTAATCTGCGACGATTACACTTCAAAATTGCCAATCGCGTACATGTGGACACGTTCGTGATATTTGCATCGATCGACTCAGCGCCTCCTTCCTCGCTCGATGAGCTTCGGTCTTCCTTAAATCCGATGTGGATCGATCAAACTGAAAGTTGAACTATGTCGACGTAATTCCTTAAAACATCGGTTTCCACTTTCGGAGTTAATTCTATAATTTTCTTTTTCACCCCTCCTTCTTCTGTGAGAGAATGGCTGGTGCAGTAAGAGTTTGGAAACTGCAAGATAACTCCAAGTGCGGTATCTTCGAAGTTTAAAATAAAAGAAGCTCGACGTTTTGATATATTTGGTGTGCATTAGCAGCAGATCATCACACTCTGCCAAATCAAGCTTCTTATACTTCTATGACTGAATTTTAACTTTAAAAGTATAGCGAGTTTTTGCCGGTCAAATACATGGTCAGATACAACCTATATCAGACGAATGTCTGTTTAACTTAATGTTTGTGAATGCCTAACACTGCAGGCTACAGTTCAGTAATAGGAGGAAAAGATTCATGAGATCCTTTAAAGTCAGTTTGCTTCTTATAAGGTACCTTCTTCTTGCGACGTCTGCGAGAGCGACACATTATTTCTGAGAGTGTTAATAGAATAAGTATTATAAGCAATCCAGAAATGGCCACTAAGCAGATTATCCAGACAGGACTAGTAACTTTTGATGTTCCTGGTGGCGAATCACGAACTTGAAAAGGAAGAAGAGACACAATTTATAGTTAGTAAGGAAAAAGATGGAGAAAGGAGAACAACACCATATTTAAAATCGACTCCACTGGGTGAGTTATGTCAGGTTGCTTTTTTAGAGAAACGTATATCGATAGATGTTTCGTAACTTATAAGAAAGACTTATTCTTCTCTTCATCCTTATCAAAATAGTCAGTTGTCATTTCCCAGAGATCAGCAATGTACGAGGACATACATTCTTTAACTTAACACCACTTTAAAGGTGGGTTAACATAAATTTATTAAATTTACCTCTCTGCGTTGTTGGGAACTCAAGATTGTCAGAATCCTCAACTCTGACAGTGATTTCCGTGCTGTCTTTGCCTGCTTGGTTATGAGCTTCACACAGGTAAACTCCGCTGTCAAATGTCTTTATAGAAATGAAATAAAGAGCTTGGTTTCCAATAGTTTTCCCATGTTTTTTCCACGTTATGTTTGGTGTCGGAAATCCACTTGCAAGACATTTAATCACCAGTGGATCACCATCCCTAACGGAGATGTTTCTTTGTTGAGGAGTGTTGATTTTTGGTGGATCTGGATAAATGAATAAATAAATAAATAAATGAAACCATCTGGAATACAATAACTAATTTGTGTCTTCCTTGATAAAATAAATTACCAGATAAGCTTTGCCCATAGTCAGTGAGTATCGACACGTTCCAGTGCAATGCTTTGAGCTACCTTTGTATCTGATTCAGTTAAACACATCTTTTCCTGTATTCTATGTACCTCCTCCCACCTCTAGCGGTTCAACATGNCCTAGAACGGTCTGCGGAAAAGGAAAATACATGTACTGCTCACTAAACCAGTGCTTTCGAAACAACTAACTTACTGTGATAGTCAGAGTGGCTGCCGATACGAGTATTCTCCTATGATTGAGAGCAAACTGATTAAGTCATGAAAACCGGGCTCGTAAGCCGGACTGTTTAGTCTCAAAATATTGAGCAGGCGATATTTACAAGTTGGCTGATGAAATATCAATACGCTTTTCGGAGAATTTGACCTTTTGGCTAATGGTGCGTGACAATGCCGAGGAGAAGGTGTTGTTTACGACGTTAGATTACGCGGAACTCGTCCATGAAAAAGGTTTTTTATTCGAATAAGAAGGCGCATATGGGTCTTCTTAGTCAGTTTCTACGAACCTTAATGTAATGATATTTTAATTGCTACGAAGACTTCAGGAATTGAGCCTTGGCCTGAAGCCTTCTGAAGGCGGGCGTCTGCTTTCGAAAGTTATAAATACGCAATGATTACCGTGATTTCGGCCGATTCGCGTCGTTGCTTCGTTCGTTATAGCAAAACAGTTTACTTTCCATTCAGTTCTTCCGCTTCACAACGAGACAAAGCTATATCACATGCACACAAGCTACTCAAGGCTTCTTGCTAATTATTATACTCGGCAATTTAGCTAAGACAAATTAAATGGGCATTATGCCATATTTCTGAAAAAGATACTCTGCGTTTCAGTTCGGCCGCAGACGCATCGAATGTTCTTCTACCTCACTGCAACAATATCCCAACATTCAGAATTAGTGCTTCTTGCTAATTATTATACTCGGCAGTTCAGCTAAGACAAATCTTTGGTAGTTAAATGACAACGAAGTAGTGGGTATTATGCCATATTTCTGAGAAAGATACTCTGCGTTTCAGTTCGGTAGCTGACGTATCGAAAGTTCTTCTACCTCACTGCAACAATATCCCAACATTCAGAATTAAGTTATTGAAAGATTATGTTGTTTAGCTCACCTGAGGAGAAGAGAAACGGAAGAGAACAAATTGAAAGAACAAATGGTGTCTTCATATTTTTAAAACAATTGCATCAACACAGCTCGCTTTTCCTTGTCACGGGAGGGTTCGAAAGAAAACCTGTGCGGATAATTTCAATACCAGTTCAGCCCCAAAACTTAAGGCATATATAATAATGGCACTTACCCATCCGATAAATTCCGAGAAAAAAGGGTTGTATAGGGATTTGTCACAACTGATTTCTAATTGATCAAGGTTTTCATTAACAGCCAATCATAACTAAGAGTAGCACATGCCACCGACCAATGAATAAGCTATAGATGAAAAAGAAAAATCAGAAAGCAAAGAAAAACAGATTTGATAATACAAGCGTGAAGAAGCGAGGCTTTATATCTGCTCAGCATATAGTAAGTCCCTACCTCTCCCCAGCTTGTTTCAGGCGTTCGCTTTGAGCAAACTAAAGACGCCGCTTTCGTCTTACGAATTTAGGATTTAGGATTAAAATACCTCCATGGAGTTGACAGCTTTATAGAGCACGTGGTGTCCATGTGCATCAGGAAAAACAAATGCAGTTCAGTAATTCGACATCTGTCCCTGTCCACCTGGTGCCATCGGGTAGACACCTTTGGAATCAATTCAGGTAGACAGTACACTTCCTATCTGTCCACGGGTCTGTTTCGATGCGTTGAACGCCAAGTGAAAATGGCTGAAGTACATCAACAAATGATGCTAACTTTTTGCGTCCTGGGCAAAGTTGGAAATTTACAAAATAATATATCATGTGATTTACAAAATAACAAATCATGTGATGTTATGTACGCTTAGGCCAGCCGTTCTTAAAAAATGTGAAACTCTACCCTAAAAACTAGCTTGTAAGATCTAGCGACCTAAGAAAGTGAAAATTATGCATCCAAACTCGCGCGTCTCGAATTTGAGCTAATTGGTGGCTAAAAAGACCTTTTCATACGATCGATATCAGAATCAAGTTATATCGCTGTTGCAAGAAAATCTTGGCATCCACATGGCTCAATTCACTTGCAGAAGCTGTTACGGTTTCTGTATGTCAAATAGAATGAATATATGAAGTTCATATATTTTGAACTGCGGTATTAGATACGTATGATGCACGATCCTCGCAGTAGAGAGCGCTATCTATGCAATAGCGAAAAATCGTGCATCATACGTATCTAATACCGCAGTTCAAAATATATGAACTTCATATATTCATTCTATTTGACATACAGAAACCGTAACAGCTTCTGCAAGTGAATTGAGCCATGTGGATGCCAAGATTTTCTTGCAACAGCGATATAACTTGATTCTGATATCGATCGTATGAAAAGGTCTTTTTAGCCACCAATTAGCTCAAATTCGAGACGCACGAGTTTGGATGCATAATTTTCACTTTCTTAGGTCGCTAGATCTTACAAGCTAGTTTTTAGGGTAGAGTTTCACATTTTTTAAAAACGGCTGGCCTAAGCGTACATAACATCACATGATTTGTTATTTTGTAAATCACATGATATATTATTTTGTAAATTTCCAACNGCTCAAGAATCTCAGTCGTTCTCCTGGCCCTATTCTCGATGTTCTGGCACTAGCCATAGTTAGTAGAGGGGACTGGTTATGAAACCCGGTAAACATCAAAGGGTTAAACAATAGCGCGGTTGGTGATGTTGAACAGACCCGTCACGTGACTCTGACCGTGCACAAGTTCATTCAAGATGGCGAACGGTGTAGACGATCTGTTTGTGTGGGGAGAAGATTGTGTGGGGAGAAGATTTTGAAGCGATCTTGGGTATTTTGGAAGACGATGACGAAGTAGAAGAACAATTTTCCGTCGCAGTTAGAAATGTAAGTTCAAAACGTTGCAATTTCGAGTTGTGATTTCGCGCTACTGAGCTTAAATTTGCCACACATGTGCTACTCTACGCGTTTACAAACGAAATTCAGCTAACGCTGGCGTAAAAACCATGCTTTTACATTGCCGTTTCTTCAAAGACAATCTTCTTTAGGGCTCCTGCAAAACAAGAAATACTTATAAAAAGCTTCTAAAGAGCTCAAATCTCCGGAATGTAGTGATTTGTCGAAATTATTTTAAGTGGTAAACCTTGTAATTGATAGAGCTTCGCGGCTTCTCGATACTCTTTTGATCGTAAAAAGCTGCCACCGAATTTTTACTTTTAAACTCTTAAGTAGTTTATTTATTTTACAATGGTAATTTTTCTAATATCTTTGTAGGCTCAGCGTCAAGAAATTGTTTGTCATGACTGCGGAAAGAAATACAAAACAATAGGAGGTTATCACAGACACAGGGCTACAAAACACAACAATCAACAGGAAGGATTGGAGCAGGTGCAGCAGTTAAGCCTGAGTGTTCTTGCAGAAATAATTGACCGTGCTATCCGCAGTGTTAAGGAAAGGAAAGTTTTTGCAGAAAATTTAAGGAAGGAGCTCAGCAATTACTTATACCAACAGCTACAAAAAGACAGCAATGAATTCTCTGCCATAAAAGCAATCTATGAAGGATATACAAGAAATGGAGATGCAGAAAAGTTTTATGGAAAATATTATGCAACAGTGGCTGTAAAGTCAACCCAATTCTTCAGTGGACTTTCTAGGAATGCAGCAACACTACTCGCAACCAAAGTTGCTGACTGTTTGCTGACATACTCTAAGCAACAAAAACACTCTACTGAAAGCAGTCATAATATAAAAACTGTGTTGTCAGATAAGGAGAAAGCTGGGATGCAATATCTTGAAGGTTATGTTCTGCAAAACTTACACAAAAAACATGGATGAACTAACTCAGTGGAGAGCCAACAAGCTATGGCAATACTGAAAGCTGGGAAACTGGAGAGCATAACTAACTCTGGCCAGAAACTTGTCTCAGCTTTGAATCGTGGGGGACTTTGGTCAATTACTCAGCCTGCACCGCAAATATTTTTAAAAACAGAATGTCATTTTAGGCAATTTACATCAAAGCCTGATTCGCAAAGATTGGATATTTCTGGCATCACTAACAAAGCAACCAGTGATAGTGACATCCTTGCTAACTACAATTTGATGATATCAGATGCAGAACTTGAACCGGACAGTCATGTTTGTAAGGATGTCTTACGTGGCATTGTTAGTCTGTATGTACAAGTACGTTAGTTCTCTTTTGCCAAGGATGTCATTCAGCATTACAAGATCACAGCAACCCAAACCAAAGCAAGGGCTTTATGCAAGGAAATTAGTAGAAGTTGTCAAGGTGATGACCAATAAAGGCAGGAATGAGACTGTTAATTCACATTTTTGATTAGTAGCTTATGATCAGTACCACCATTTGCAGTGAAGAAAATAAATGTATTGTTAACTCTGAATTTTTTTAAACTTTGTTTCAGGTTTGTTAAAACAATGAAATTCATTCAAGTTATCAGTGAGATAGATTATAAGAACTTGGGAATGGATTGTTAATAAATCATACTTCTTGTTTTATATGCTCCTAATAAAATCAGACTTTTATAACCTTTTGAAACAACTATTTCTACTTTCCTGAAACCCTAAAGTGTGTCAGCCAAGAGTAATTTATCAGTAGACACTAGTTGATGACCAATTAACTAAAAAGGGCCAATTATTTTTCATGAAAGGGACTTTACTTAGACACAGTCCTTTTGTTGTCGCTAAAACCTCCTACCCCAGTAACTGCATTGAAAATTCAAATGAAATGTAGATGGCTACAATTTTGTAATGACAACAAATTCAAAGGAAACTTGCTTTCTGTCATTGTTAGGTGAACATGCACTAAAAAAATCTTCATCAAATGACATGAGATAATTGTATCTTATTCCATAATACAAAATGTACACTGGCTGCTATGTAATTAATCTCCTCAATGATGAATTGACTTGATTGATTACAGTTTCAGTTTTTTTCTACATGCTTTTATGGTCTTTCTTGAGAAAAGCAGGTACTCCAAACATTGTGGGCATGCACCTTCCCCGACTTCTTTTTCGCACATGAGATGGCAGTCATTTGACCTCCAGAAACCTTTGTTGGGAAACTGCTCACCCTGCTAACATGCCTGAAGTGGGTCTTCATTTTATGGGAATTACATGATGAAACAGCTGGCTTGTTAATTCACTGGCTTCCACTCCACAGCAAAGTTTATAGCACTCTAGCTCTCTTACAATTTCACATACTGAAATGTTTCTGACTGAACGATAGTGAGTAACATAGAGGGGATGACCAAAGGCTTTCACAGTGTGTGCAAGACTGTCATCGATCATTATTTCTACTTCTGGGAGAAGGAAAGGTTCTACAATCTTTTTCAGAATAAGTCTGTCTGACATTGTTTTCAATTTCCACCCTTTCAGGGTTTTCAGGCCAGTGATTCGCCGGCACAATTCACCAAACGACTTGTAACATGCCTTAGGTTGTTGATCGTGCTCCTCGACAACCGATCGAGCAGGTCTTGGCGTAGGTCTCGCAGACTCGTGACTTTTCCTTGGCATGTTTAATGCAGGGATGGCGCCGAATCGTAGTTTCTCCTTCGTCATTTTCGCCGTTTGAACTGCATTTGAAAATATAGTAAAACACAAATAAGAATGATGAAAATTAACCTTCAAGAAAATTTCACAGAGATCGTAAATAAACAAAACCATACGGAAAGCGAGAGCTTGTCTTCAATTTCTACTGTAAGCTTATATCGCAGCCGTACTTACATATTTCAAAATCTTCTACGTCGAAGTGTTTTTCACAGGTAAACACCTTGTCGTTTCGATCCTTTTTCGAAATTCATGGTCGATCTCACGCGTCTTTGTGATCTCACTCAACCAATCATCCTGCCATTTCTTGTGTGCCTCGTCCTTCGCTGCGGGCAACTTCCAAATACCGATTCTTATCGTTCTTCTACAACTCCCACAGCCAAACACAGCGCGGTTATCTCCAGGCATGACGACTAATGAATAGTGTAGCTATAACACTCATCGGATCGAGATTAATCTAAGCTAAAAATCCGGCGAAATACAGCGTAAGTTTCCGCACACTCACGTAACTCCGATCGACATGTTTGCTTTTCCTTGTGCACGGTCATGATCACGTGACTAAGGGAAACCATAACAAAGACATCGGCCTTTGATGTTTACCGGGTTTCATAACCAGTCCCCTCTACTAACTATGCACTAGCATTATGCCCACAATTATCATATGACTTAATTTAGCTAAGCTAACTGATCTGAGGTAAGCAGGTTTGTCTCGAACACGTCAGTCGAACCTTTTTTACGATGGTGACACCAACGCTTCAGCACAATAGATGTTATGACACCAAATACGATAACTCCGGATGCCACCGCTAACATAAAGAAGAATTTCTTCGATGTTTTTCTTGGCACTGAACCGCTGGGCTCTGGAACAGATATATATATATAAAAATCTGTTGATCAAACTGTGTTGACAGATATTTTGGTTAAAAGGTAGGTGGCCAAATGAGTATGAAGGTCAGTTTGGAGGTTAATTAATAGGAATGAAAGTATTTTTACAAGTTGGATAATAATGAACTGTTTGAACTTGTAATATGCGAAATCATTTGCAGTCTAAACTCAGGCTACCGGGGTAGGTAGGTTTGTAGAGCGCGTAGATGAAAATTTAAATTAAAATTCTTGATTAGATAGGAAAAGAAGCGTCATCTGCAGTGTAATTGACCAATGATCTAACTGATTCACACATTCTTGGGATGGGCGGACCAGCAGGATAAGAACATTACCTTTCACTGTTTCCCGCGTAGACCCAACTTTGTTAGTGGTATACACCGCTGTAGTGCCATTTCTCTGTTGTGGAGTAGCAGTTTTTGGTGGATCTGTGTCTAAGAATTTACGCAAAATTAACTGTCATACCTAGAAGTTTTAAGAGGAAATAAAATCGGTGGAGTAAAAAAGTTTAATTTAGATTTGTGAACATAGTATTCGACCAGACCCCAGATTTCCGGATTTAACGCACATTTTTTTCAAGGCTGGATTCTTCTTTGTTTTTTCATTTAACCGCTCTTGTTCTCCTGAACAGTATGATAAAAAAACATTTTCCCGCTCGTTTTATGCGGCGGAGGTCTATTGACGTTGGTGATCTTCGTTCTCGATAAATTAGGAATGGCTGTGAACACGATCATGTGTCTGGGTCAATCTTCTGTTGGACCATTCACGAAGGAAACGAAGCTTGCAATTGTATAGCTAGAACTGACGACAGTTTTATTGTATTAATAAAAATGTAATAATAACCTACAATACCATTGAATAACATTATACTCGCAATTCGCATTGATCTTGAAATAACCGTTATCGATTTCTCAGAATAACTCAGTGCGGCTTCTCTTTTGGGAAATTTTGGGGACCCTTCCAATCAAGGAACTGCATCTTGGATCCCGACTGAACAAAACAATGCTCCTAAAATCTCATCAACTTTTTGCATTCGTTGAAGAGATATGTATGCATCTCTTCTCCGTGAACCTCATCGTATGACTCACAAATGAACCATAATATCACAGCAACCTGAAATGCAATTTTGAGTTGAAACGAACACTCTATGAGCTGTCTTTAACGATATTACTTACGTCTCAATTTAGCTTGAAGTCCGTACACAACTTGAAGCTGAACTGTGTCGGTCAACGGGGTATGCTGGAGGCCATATTCTACCACAATTCCATACGTTTTGCTTTCTTCAAGCTTTACATTGTAAAGTTCAAACACAGCCATAGAGGATGTCAGATTTCCTGCCCAACCTACCGATGACTCATATGAGGGCCTTGTTAAGGAAAAGCCACTCGAGTTGACAGCTATCAACTTTGTTTTCAGGAACCCAGGACTCTTCCAAATACCAAAAACCACCTCATAAAGATCATCCTTCAAATCTCCTGAATTGTAGTGCCACCTAAACCTAACAGATTTGCCAATGATGGCTATTGTTGGCGTGTCTGGAGCATCGATCATCCTTGGGTACACTATGGCTTGAATCGATCCTGTAAATGACATGGCACCAGTCATTATTTACGGCATCCCTGGGGGGGTGGAGGAGGGGGTGGGTGTCACATTGAAATTTACCTGATCCCCCTTAGACCTCATTGGCAGTCACTTTTCCATACTGTCCCCCTTGTTACTCTTTTGACCATGACTGATACCCCCCTCCGTTTCCCCCTGAAAACCTTGCGACTCCCTCTCCTCCTGAAAAAAAAAAATCCCCGGCCCTCCCAGGTGATAAATAATGACCGGTCCCTTCGTACGTATAACGTTTAAGAAGTGATAAATGACTTATCAGCTTCAATGACGCTTGGTCTAATTTTATTGAAGATATGTTCATATCGATAAGTTTCACTCTCAAGAAACGTTACTTAATATAAAGCCTTACGGTTACCTTTTTGTTTTTTGTTTCTCAAGTATTGCGTTCCTTTTACAGACTGCTCAGTGGTCAGAACATACTTGATAGGTTGACTAGCAACGTGGCGTGCAGATGCAGACACTCCGTCAAAAAGCAACTATTAGAATTGGAGTTCCTGAAACTTCTCTATCACTGCTCATTAGAGGACATTACGGGAAACTGTTGCGCTCAAAATTTTTATCATATCAAGTTTTTTTTGCGGTAAAAGCCTGTTAAAATGGTTTACTTTGGCATGGAAGGACATTGAAGAGGTAAAACTGGGACTCAAATGGAGGGAGGATGGATTTAATTGGTAGCTTACTTCCTTAGCGTGACCACTTCCTTTAGACACAAACGTGCTCAGAGGTCTACAGACACGCATTCTGTTTTGTAGGCATGGATCCGCCAAAATCCTCAATTTCTTAATACAAATCGTTCCGTGTATTAGCCCGACTGCGACTAAGTTATCTGTCCTTCACGATATCACCAGAGATATATTTAACCTCTTTAAATCATAGCTTCGGTTCCCCTTCCCTTTTTCTCAGAAAGGTCGATGTTGCCGTAATGGAAATAAACATGAATAATTCTTGAGTAAGCGGGGTAATTTTTTTTCAGTAAAGATAGTGTCTCCGAGATTTTATTTTTAAGTTCTAGCAACGAACTTTTTCAGATATTTCCACCTTTCTATCGATAAAAGCGTTAAGCTGAAGCTCTCAACTGCTCT